GCGCGCTAAGAATTTGAGAATTTTAGGCACTTTCAGAGGATACATTTGTCAAGGGGTGGGGAAAGATTTTCCAAAGATGGATATTTTCCCCTTGTCCCCCGGTGTTTTTAATTCTAATTTCGTTGGAATTGATCAAAACTCCCTAATATATGCAATTTTTAGAGGAAATTGGGCCATGTTAACAAGAAATGCGCGCAAAATTTGAGGTTTTTAGGCACTTTTAGGGGATGAAAGGGCATTTATAAAGCGGTGGGGAAGATTTTTCAAAGATAGATATTTTCCCATTGTCCCCCAGTGGTTACGCCATCGGGCAGCATAGATCAAAGGAGTTATGACAGTTTTTGAAGTGGAGAAGGGGTTGCAGGGTGTTGTGAGTCTGGTCATTATGATATCTTCCTTTTTATTCCTGTCTTTATTTTTCTCTTCTCTTTTCTTTCCTTTTTTTTTCCTCTTCTTTCTCTTTCCCTCCCTCTCCCCTCTTTCTTTTCTCTTATTACCCAGCCCGGTACGACGGCTTGATCAGTCCGGTAAAAACCGTCAGGGGAGGGGAAGTTTTTCCCCTGCCCCCCCCCCCCGCATGTTACGACACTGGCTAACAACGCCAATCATCCCCCACCCCTAATGAAAAATGAAAAATATTTTTCTACGCCACTGATTGCAGGCCTACATTTTGATGGGAGGTGAAAACTGGTCGAACGTCCACTTTAGTTTCTTCAGTCATTAATATTAAGTCGTGTGCTCTATTACGAAGAGGTATACTGCGTTTAGAATCAACGTTCACATAGAAGGCTTACGGTACATGCGTCCACCAACTTGAAATGTCTCTTCCAAAAGACGTTGCGTTATATTATAATGAGCCAAAGATTCCCAACAGGCAAAGTGGTGAGGGCTACCACCTGCCGCAACCAACTGGGCTATGTTAATGTACATTATATACTGTTCTATATGGCTATTGGGTAAATTTCAAAAGAATGTCTTACGTCTATGTTATTTGTGTTTTCGTCACCATGTTCTCTTTTCTCCCCAATTCCAAGACTTTCTAACATCGATTCAAAACCTAGAAAAGATGAAGATATCTTAGATAAATAAATGATATTTTTGACCTATCGAAACAGCTTAAGATCAAACAAATTTATATATATATATTTTATTGTTAATAAGCAATATAACTATTATTATATAATTAAAACTTGATAACAGCGTTTGAATTACATTTTTATATTATGGTATCGATGAAGACATACCTTCCTCATGAATGACGTCATCATCAACCACATACATTTCGAATATTTCGTTAATAAATGACTCGGGATTAGTGGCTGTCGGCTCTCCTATACAATATCCTCGGAGAAGGTTGTAGATAACTGCGCCTGCTAGCTCTTGCACTTCTGCTATGTTCGCTCCATTAGTGTGGTTTACTACAATGTCTTCGAAAGAACCCTCTGCCGTAAAACACTGATTAACAAAAAATATGAAGATTAAAGGATGTCTGGATTTATTCTGTGTAAAACATCAAAGAAAAACCCACGAAAATCTGAAGAAGACTTATTTCCAGTGGGGATCCTTCTGGTGGTGATTGGGCAGTACGCCGGGAGACAATCATCTACTCTTTTTCAAAGAATGTCCAGCTTTCTTTAACGTGAATGCACACGGGATCAACGACTTAAACGTCTCATCCGAAAGACGGTGTACTATCGTAACTTGCATTTCAGCCCTCCAGCTAAAGTTCAAGGAGAGTAGCGAAGGGAATTGAACCGGGACCAAGAGACTTCACGGTTCAGCGCACACACAGTGGCTACCACTAGTTTAGCCGACCAAGCTAAACTTCAACCAAAAATGTTCCCATGTTATCTTGAATAACTGTCATCATGAATTTTATGAGCATTTCTGGGATTTTGCAAGCAGAGAAACACGAGTATAGAGAAGGAGAAGTGGGGAGGCGCATACCCAATACTCTCATTTGACACCTACACTGATTACGGTGGTGAAAACAAAATCCACTTATTGTAGTGAGTCAGGCATGTTATAAACTAATGTGGATCTACCACCGATATGTTAAAAGTATATGTATCACATTGTATCAGCATGGAGGTATAAATCAGCAACCGGATAAGGGGTACCATACTAGAAAAAGAGAGTGAAATGAGTGCCAGTTTCCACATTGCTGACCAGAATGATCCATCTAACTTGTGCGCTTCACCTTCTTAAACCCGTACCCGGGATTTATCGGTACGAATCAGTTTTGAAGCAATAGCATCATGGAATAATTCGAGTATTCAATCGTGAACAAAAACCGTTAACTTACTCACCTTATAATGAATGTCGGCGTCATATATAGTTGCAACCTCTCTTAGAATCAATTTGAATTCCTCCTCAGTAAAATCGTCATCATTGCCAACATAGGAAGCGTAATGCTGTTCATAGGTGTTTTGAGTAAGACAGGTTTCATACTGAGAGGAAATGGTATTCAAGAGGACTACGGACAACTTATGGTACAGCTCTTCATTCAAACCCTCGACTGTCTTAGCTCCGACAATGTCAAATAGGTGATCAGGATCAAAGCACTAAAATATAAAATAAAAATTAATTTCATTACATGTCATTTATTTAAGTAAATAATGTGTCTGAATACGATTGGCGATTCCACTATTTCATTGAAAGTATGCTGCAGTTTCGCCCATTATAGCCTACACGGCCTGCAATTGTTAGTACTGTATTCGGGCACAGGGCGGAAGTATGCACGTCGAGTGACTGATAGTTTTAATAATTCTGAAGATATAGGTATTAAGTACTGCACAACGCAAAGTTACCCAAACTCCCTTGGAGAACATCTCCAAATGACGCAAAAATGGGCGCCATTTTTCCACTTAAAATTATGAGTTTAGTTAAAATTTAATATGTTGTACAACTGATTTTTTTAAAGACACACAGACAGTGTTTAATGATCGGGAACGGTTAAGGAGATAGAGATGGTGAAAAAATCCCCGATTCGACCGACTAATCAGCATCACCAAAAGCTATTGGTGATAGCGTGTAGCGATTGTATGGGAACCAAGCGTAACATCACCTCATCTAGGATGAATACCTTATTTCATTCAACTATAAAAATGGCGGGTCATAATTATGAGGTCCTACACAATTAATATGGAGCTTTCGATTGCACGACGACGGTAGGACGTGGAACGTAATGACGTCACTAAGACGTCATCTGCGCATGCGAGAACCTAAAAGAGAACTAGCAAAATGATTTTTTGTTCTAGAGTGGATATTTGATATGCCATTAATAATAGAATCAACCTTAAAATCGTTCTTTGGCTATTTTTTTATGAAGTTATAGACGATTATATACGATTTTACCTTGACGTCACTGGCGAAAAAGTAACAAAAGATCGTGTAAATAGTGCCGCGTAGGGTATCCATCGCGTAGGGGTGTCTTTTAATTACCTTCAAGTTCTTCAAAATTCAAGGCTTTTCCCTCTTGAAAATTATTATAATGAATCAAAGAGAAAATGGAGGTTCGGGTTCTTCCCGGGAAAGTGTTGATTAAATGTTGGGAAATGAGCTTTCCCAACTTCTCAAGTAGCTAGGTTTTAGCTAGGTGTCTTATGACTTTGTTAATCAAAATTCAAGGTTTTCCCCTCTTGAAGACGGTCAGGTAAAATTTTCTCATTTCTTATTTTATGTGTGTATACATACATAAATAAATGAGTAGTTACATGCGTATTCTTTTTTCCACGAATCGATAAATCCCAAAAAGAAATGGTGGTCTGGGAGTTCTCCCCCGGGAAAATTTTTATTCCTAGATGGATGAGCTTTCCCGACATTTGAAGTGTGTTTTAATGACTTTTATGTTCTTCAAAATTCTAATTTTCTTATAGTAACATAAAAAAAAAACAAAAAAAAAAATGTGTATAAAAAAAAAAAAAAACAAAAAAAAAAAAAACAGCTCACGGGTCCTGAAAAGGTAGGTCTGGAATTCTTTTTTTCTCTTTTTTTGTTGCCCAAGGGAAGGGTCAGGGCCCATGACCCTCCTACCCCACTCCCCCAGATCCGTCAATGTGAATTGCGAAAAAATGTAACTCGGTCTGGGACTGGATAAACATTCTTTTCCCATCCTTCTCCTCCTTCCTTCTTTCTTTTTCTTGCATTTCTTTCCGATCATACAAAAATCTCCAGACATAATATATTTGTTGCCAAAAAGTGGGGGGGGGGGCACCCGGGCCCCCGGTCCACCCCCCCCCCCCCGGGTTCCCCCCCTAGGCCTAGTAGTAGTAGGTGGATATATTATTACCGCGAAGTGGGTGGTACATGCCTTATAATTTACTACGTGACGTGGATAGCGAGATTATTCGATCGCCATGCAAAGTTAAAATAAAATCCCAAATCCTCCTCCTTTTTTGGAATTTAAGGAAATTAATACATTTTTGTTTCTTTGTTGGATCGATTGCAGCAACCCCAAGACCAACATAATGGTATTTCACATTATATAGCATTAATCATCTATAATAACTGCTAACTTCCTACCCTATCGCGTTGTTTTGTTTTGGTGACAACATGGCCGGTGTAAGTCACGTGGTTGATTTACAGCGTACATGCAAAGATCGTACGCAGCGGATACCTCTCTCTATCTACGGCTCTGGATCTTTTGTTACTTTTTCGCCAGTGACGTCATAGTAAAATCGTATATAATCGCCTATAACTTCATTAAAAAAAGGCCAAAAAACGATTTTAAGGTTGATTCTATTATTAATGGCGTATCAAAAATCCTCTCTAGAACAAAAAAATCATTTTGCTAGTTCTCTTTTAAGTTTTCGTTGTCGCGTGCATGAGTGAATCCTTTTTAGTGTGTCATTGCAATTCGAAATCTCAATTATATCCATGGACAATCAGTCTCCCGATGAAGCTATGTCACCTTTTATTCATCCATAGAGGTATGACGGCGGCGATATCACTGGTATTTACCGTGATATTGGTTCAGAATAGAATGCGCACGGTTTAACTCCCAAGTACAAAGGACATGTCAAATCCCAAAGCACAGTCCTGCATGAGTTGAGCTATTAACTTTATTAAATAAATTCAACCAGACAGTACATCTCTGAAATTGATTATATTTTGAGGCGGAAATATCGTTTTTGTTATTTCCACACCATGGCTGAAAAAGACATAATACAAATACACAAAAACAAATATGACGGGATTACTACAAGAAAATTAAACTCTATCAAGTGATATTCAAGGTTTTAAAAGATTAGTGAAAAATAGTAACTGAAATAATAATATGAATGATGTTTGCCCAACCTAACGTGTTATCGTACCAAATGCTCAGTAGGTTCCCAAATGCTTGCGAAAAAAAAAACGCCATCGGAATAGCATTGCAGTACAGTATTCTCTGCTTACTTTTGGGATCGAATTACTAGCCACCAAGAATTTTATATTACGTTGACAATTGTCTTTGCTAGAGATCACTCATTACTCAAGATAACAACTTACAAAACTCACTGTTAACTATCTTTGTTGATTTCTCATTAAGTTTAGTACCACCCATGCATTGTTGATAGGCCAATTGATTTTCAGCAACTTGTAAGTATCTCTAATGTATATCACTTACGTTGATGAAATATTTGTGTTAAATAAATTATGTTCCAAAAATAGACCTACGTCAACTTGACTTTTGTTTTTATTGTCATCGTTTTCACCACTATATTTATTATGGAACAACGTGCTATATCATTTCACAATGATTCGAAGTAAGTTATTCGTTCGTCTGCATAAACGAAAACAGTTATTTAAAAAGTAATAATATAATATAGTACAGTAATAAATGAGTTATACAAACTTATGTTTTAGAACCACAGATAGGCTTAACTTTGATTAAAAGGCATTAAAAGAAAAATACATGATTCTATACGAAGCGGTTTATTAATAGCAATAATGCTGCTTCTATTGAGACCTATGCAGATGCATTCTGGCTACTCTATACCAACGTAAATAAACAAGGATATGCTATTACATTCAACAAAATGTCTCAAACATTGAATCAGTGAGTAATCCAGGACAATTAATGTCAATAAATACAACAAAACCTTGGCAAATATTATTATGAAGGGAGTTGATCGAATGATTGGATCATGTTCCTGAAAAAAAATAATACCATGACATTTGTTGGAGAAAGAAGGTTGTAACTGAACCAATAAAATAGGCCTAAGCATAATTTTTGTTTTAAGATTCGTAATTCTAGGAAGGAAGCGGTTGACAATGCTGCGTGTGAACTGTCATAATCTATGGCTAGTTCTAGAATCAATTAAATAAACGAACGAACGAAGATTTACGTCATTAAATGCAGCCAAAAAAA